TTAATTCATACACTTCAATCGGAATGATAATGGGTACATCTGTTAGACATTGGGAACGAGAGATCCCAGGTGTCCTATCAAAAAAGGTTCCTGTAATTCACTATTCTAAACCGTAATCAACGACTCGTCAAGCGTTGCCATTATCTTAATGAAGTCGATGAAAATATCTTTTTTTTTCCTTAAAAAATCCTTTTTGTTAATTAAATATCAGCACTATTCCAAACTATACACGTAACGACTAGCTTATTCTAGTGTCTATACGATTGTCTCCATCTAATAAGTTTGGACCGAGAGCTTTAGATTACGTTTTCAAAACGTCCATTGGAAATACTGTATATTTTTTCAACGACAAATGAAACTTAAGGACAACAAGAGGAAGATAGTTCACAAAACAAGGAAAATATCTTGGTTTCGGAAGATGAAAAATGGAAACGATTACATATCAAATACATTTTTTAAAAGTTAATCTTGTTTGAAATCAAATCAAAAGCAAGCCTATTTTTTTTTATTTTTTTTTCATTTGTTTATTTAACTCAAAAGAATACTCTAGTTTGGTGAGATATGGAATGTTCTCTAGCCATTTGGCTATAGTAGAGTTCATGTTTTCCAGGATTCATAATTTAAAAGCTTGTAGCTGTTTCCGTAATTATTCGAGTCATTCTTTGTATTAGCCGCGTCATTCCAGATAATTACTTACAAAACCGCGATCAGCTCCGCTTGTTGATTTTCAAAAGACAAATTAATTAGTGCTCCCAGTGACCTTCTTTTACATTTTATGAAACGTTTCTGAGGGAGAACTTTTTAAACGTTTACTTCAAGGTTCACTGCTAATGACATCGTATGTGAAATCAGAGGAGGGTTTTCATATTAACATGATAATACATACAACTGTTCACATCGAAATTCGGAGATGTAACAGGTAGATGTTCAGTCTTTTTTTTTTTTTTTTTTTAATTATTTGAGCTTTCGTTAACACGTAGTATCTTTTACATAGAAACTCAGTCGTTGGGATATGTCCTGTACAACTCATTCATATACAGAGGTCACATTACAATATAGACACCCTTTCAAATCTAATTCCCTCTTTCGATTTCCTAGCCTACGGAAAACGGGCCTTCTGCAAATGATCGCAGACTTTGCTCCATTGTAGGAGAAGCAGCTTTAATATACCAAAGCATTTGTTCAGAGTTATATTGAACCCGCCAACTAACGCTAAATTAGTGCTTATATTTCAAAAAGAAAACAAAGCTCGGCGGTCTTCTTTCACGAAAGTAAACACTAGACAATTTCAATTTCATAACAAACATACAAAGACACATTTCCGTATACATGTACAGGTAACTTGCCTTATCTAAGGGGGCGTGTCCTACGTTGTAATCAATATCTTTGCTCCTGAAAGTGACAAGAGGGAGGAGGCTGGATATAGGCTGGCTACTGCCATTCCCGTTGTCATGAAAACCGCCGACAGTGCTCCAAAGATCCAGTAGGTTCCTGTTGGCCCCTCGTTTCATCAAGAGTAAAACTTTTTGTTCTGAACCTAGAAACATTAATTTCTTGGTTGAAATATGAGACAATAAATTGATCAGCGTTTAATGTATACCTTTTATCATAGGAAGGTTAATGGCATATCAAAACAGGCCGGTCAACTAGAGGCAGTCGAATGTATCCCAGATTTTGTGTTTGTGCGTGAGGTTTGGGGGGGTTGGGGTTGGAGGGGGGGATATCTACGAACTTACTTGTACAACACTGTTATAATTGATATAGTTGATCTATAAATCGTTTTACCGACACAATTATTATATTTAGTAAAACTGACAAAACAGTAAGATTTACATACTCACACAACATGCTTAATTGGTACTTTAATTCACTGCAATACATAATCATGAGTTTAATTCTAGACTTGCTCCTTCATATTTGTACATGTATCTTTGACACTAGATGATTGACATGTACAAATGTGTATAATATGAAACTGAAAATAATTCGGACATTGTTATAACAGCTCAAATGTAAAATTATAAAATATTTCGTTATTACTTGATATATAAATTAAGTACTTGATAAACGCGTTCGCTGCTTTAAGGAAAAGAAAAGGAAATTGTGTTCTTTGTAATAGCATCTAGAATAAGAGTTATATAATTTTACACCGACTGCTAGAAGTGGTCTAAATAAAAAATAAACAAGAGGTTCGTTACCTTCAACCATCCAAAATGAAAAGAATCCTAGAAAAAATAATGTTCTCACTTCCTTTATCTTTAACATCACGCTGAAAAAACATCCGCGTACGTGTGAGGAACTGCTGTGTCTGTTGTAGAACTGAGCTGCTTCCTACAAAAGCCTATACAATAGAAATAAAACTCCAGGGGTCATACATATTCATATACCGTGTTATATAAATAGAACACCCACTAGTGACGGGTGTGTACGTATACACTAGTTTGTTACCATTGGTCGATCGTTTTAGATACATAACAATGTAGTAGTATTAATAGTAGTAGTAGTAGTAGTAGTAGTAGTAGTAGATATAGTAGCAGTGATAGTGGTAGTTGTAGTAGTAGTAGTAGTAGTAGTAGTAGTTGTAGCAATAGTAGTAGTAGTAGCTGGTGTTGTTGTCGTTGTGGTGGTGGTGGTGGTAATAGTAGTAGTAGTAGCAACAATTATTAATTAATAAAACAGTTCAAGTTCAGAATATTTTAATAGAAGGGGTAAAAAAGAGGGCAAATGGGTCTGAATAACTCGTCTGTTATAGAGCTTACAAAGATGACTTTATTCGTTCAGTTTCTGCAAACCTTAAATCCAGTTTCTTATGCACGTTAAAACACAACCACTCTGCCACAGGAGCTATTGCTTGTTGACAGAAGACATTCTAAAATCTAAAACATGTAGCTTAACAAGTTGGTCAAGGTCAATTCTTTGAATAAGCTTGTTAGTCGTCGGACATAAGATATTGAGACGTTGTCGTTGGAATTTTTAAACATATCTGACCCTTGTAATCTTTAAAAATGGGGCAAGGTCATTCAATTGAATAAACTAGATAGTCCTTCATCCAAGCATGAAACAGAGCCAATATCAGCAACATGAGATATTGAACTATTAGGAAGAAGTTGTGTAAAGGTTTTAGCACATCTGGCTCGTGTGACCGTAGAATTGGGTCAATGTCATTCATTTGAAAAACAACTTGATAGTCCATCACCCAAGCATGGTACAGGCCTAATAGTATCCTGGGCCTTTTGGTCATGACGAACTCGTTTGAATAGAATGTTTGCACATGGCGCACGACGACGGACGAAATACAACGGCTATAGGTCATCACGACCTTTTGTGTCAGATTTCTGTAATTTTAACGGAATGATACGAACATTATCTGTTGTACAAAATCTTATCGCTTTGGAATATGGGAACACTTGGCATAAACAAAAAACTATATTGCTAAACAGGAACAAACATCTGCTGTCAAAAATCCTTTTGCGTGACATTTATAGAAATAAAACGACATAACAACTCGTATTGTTAATATTTTTTCAACAATTTACCAAACACAACAATTGTTCAAGTGTACTGTAAGTAAAGACATCGATGTCTCCTTCATCAATAATCAGACATACCTCAGAATGTGTCACATGTACAGCAGGTAAATTTGTTTGGGATTTGACATCCTTGCAAAAAGCTAGTCATATAAAAAAAAATGGCGTCCATGCAGTATGGGGTCACTGACGGTTGTTTACAGTGCCATCACACTGAACTATCACAACCTGTACTGAGATCGAATTTGTTACAAAATATCATAGGGACTTTTATAATTGATAAAATAGTCTCGTCTCTATGTACGATATGGTCACCTCTAATTCTAAAAATGTGTCTCATTTCGTGACAAATAAACTCGATATTTTTTCATCTAAGTTCAATATCATATTATTGTGATCAATATGTAAAAGAAATATTTTATCCTTATATTAGCTAAGTTCGCTGTCCAACCAGCTTTTACCTCTCCCTTGAAATAATTATGGCGAATAGGGTGCTAGAACCATCCATTACATGTTACATTCGGCAGAGAACATGTTCTTCACATGTGAAAGGATAGTAAAAATGGCTGAATGGAAACAAAAAAAAAAAAAGAAAAAAATAATCTAAGTGCATTTTTTCGAGTTTTACACAACTCGTTTCAACAATCTTTTATATATAATAATGGGGAAGTTACATGGTCGTCTGAATGATTTCACCGAGAAATATCCTATTTCTTTGTGTGATATGAAGCTGGGCGTATTTGATGCTCGTTTGTCTGTTGGTTCCATCGTTGAACACCCTGTTCTCATTTGAGAACGTGATATTACTTACTGGGATTTCTCGGTATTTTTTATACTTTATAGAAACTGAACAAAAATCAACTTTATAAAAATGATGAAAAGTTTTGTTCAATGAGGAACTGTAAAACAATGAACACTCTGACTGTGTTTGAAGGAGTTCTTGCCAATTCTAAATTTATCAAAATTTGATGTTTTACATTAGCAATCTTCTACAAATTTAGTTTTCTTTCTGAGAAATGATATGAATACATTAAAAACCCATACTTGTTTTTATGGTAATAAAAATGGATGGTCAAGGTGTTTACAAGATTTTGCATATCAATTTTAATATATTTAACAAGTTCTGCCCAGTTATCAAATCCACACCAAAAATGTTCTCCCTAAAATGGATTAAAATTAAATTTGAGTTGCATGTCCAAAGACCTCACTAAATTGAGATACCAATGTATGCTTTAACACTTTATAAAGTTCTTATCTTAATGCAGCGACTTCATGTTGAAAGTGGACACTGATGGTAAATTAACACCGTTGTCATGATGCTTTTCCTTCCAGTCAGCAAGAAAATCGTATCAGACGTGTAAAAGACATAGGATAGACATGATAAATAAATAAAATTGGCCGAGTGTACACACAGGCTTTGGATGGTATGTAGTATAATGAATAAGTAAGAAAACAGTAGATATGTATCACAGATTTTATTTAAATAGGGATGTACATTTACTTCCCATATAACAGTTTTACCTGATTAAAAATACCAGGAATAAAGGACAGCCTTAACCACACATGGTTACCATAAATATATACATCTCAGTGGTAATATCATTACGCTCAAATATTATTGCATTGACAGTTTCTGCATGTATCTTACACAGCGATTATTGTGGATGCACAATTTCATCATTATGTTAATATGCCAAACAATGACCTCATGCTAAACCTTAATTGTGTCCAGTTAAGTACATTAGCACTGATTCCTAGACATTAGCATCAATTCTCATATTACTAAAGGGGATGATTTGTCCCCTTCAAAGGCATTAGATAATAAAAGACAATGTCTTGTAGAACAGTTACCAAAGTACCAGTATCTAATAGCTAGTTACAATTCACCTTCAAAAACAGTTCACTGGTTTAACTGATTAAGGTTGTATTGAGTCTTTAATCTAGAACCATAATCTGCCTCTGGGGGTATAAAACAGACAATGAAAGTATAAAAGGCGATATAAAGTCAGAGGAACGCAGTTCCCTCTGTACTATTTGCTAACTAAACATGCTATGCCTGCTAATGATGCGCACACATCTCATGGGATCCCTGATGTACCTTCCAGGAGTGACTGACAGAATCTATGTTTAAGGCGACTGTGGAAGAATGGAAATTGTTTCTGGGCATCACATGTTATATAGATATTACATTTGGATTTTATTGGTATTTTATAACAAATTTCTACAGATTTAAAACAGTACAAGATATTTTAAAGTGTAGGAATGCAAAAACAGTTATAAATAATATCAAACTATCAGTTTCACCAGTGACGTATATTGATATATACGTCCCTGGTTTCACACACACTTAACAGAACAACAAATTCTCAGGTATCATTCTTGAAATATGTATCGATTTCTTAATTGTTCTTTTAAACCTTCAAAACATACAGTCGGAAATTTCAAGATTATGACATGGCATGATACTGGTGATATGACAGGATGAATATTTGCTATTTGTCACAAATGAAAACTAGTGACAACAAAAATATATACATAACAAATAGCATGAAAGACTAGTACCATCAAATTTTAGCAACACAAACAATATCTACCTGTATCAATTTTTCTACTATCACGTCATTTATTAAATAAGTTTATGCTTCAAGAAGATATTAGCCAAATAGAATTACTGTATACCAAATACACATGTTATCTCCTGGTTCATATTCATAAACACTGATGTTACAGATTCAAGGAATCCAATTCTAGTTTTAATACAGTTTCATTTTAAATACTTACAAAGAAAGTCATAGAGACCCAATTTTTGTCAGGTAAAAGTAACAATATTTTTTTAAAAAAGATTTCTCTTGGTTTTTCAGGGTTTCAAGACGTTTCTGTATTGTTCTGTGTTTTAAAGCTTTTTCTTAATTTCTTAGCCTTTCTTTGCTTTCCTTTTTTCAGCATTATTCTGTTTTGTTGATCATTGCTCTATATTGTTCTGTGTTTTAAATCTTTTCTGTAATCTTTTTAATTTCAAATATTAAGCTAATGAAAAAAATTTTCTCATACAAAAAACAAATAATCTAACAAGTCGTAAATTTTTTTTAAATAAGCAATATTGATTCATGTTTCATTTCAGACCTACTTGTACCAGTCAGGTATGAAATGCATACAACAATAACATTATGCAATATAAACACCATTAGCACCATGTTAACCGCTGACCACAGAGATCAGTTCACTTTCCGTTTGCTTCTCCTTTCACATCTAGGGCATTCAGCACCTCTCTTGGCAAAGCAGTGCCTGTCAAATATGATATAGAATCATTCAACACACATGGTTGTGTTATTTTGATAGTCTTCAGTGTAATAGAGTATTGATAAGTAATACCTCCAATCACGAACAAATAGTCTGACACATTATACTTATAAACAGAATTACATGTAATTATAACCAGGGGACCTTGGTGTGTACTGTCAATGACCTTTACTAATTTTATGCAAAACTCTCCTTTTTACCACTTGCCCGATTTTCCTCTTTATCATTTCATAACAAAGGAATCCTACATATGAACCCTAAGAAAGATGTAACAAGATCTTTCTGAGTACCAGCAATAAAAAGATTCAACTGACAAAATCCAAGATAGTTGTCTATCCTCTATTTTGTTTTATTGATCAGACTAAAAATAACAGACCTAGTACGTCAGAGAACCGATTAGAACTTATGTATCACACCTAAGAATTATTGTTTCAGCACCTCTTAAGAAATAGCCATTACAAGCCTCAACTGTCAACTAGGGACCATGGTGAACATAAACATCAAGTTTAAGAAGTATCTTTCTCCTCCATCTCAAGAAACAGCGATAACAAATTTCAACCGTTCAAATCCAAGACAGCCGCACCTTGCAATGATCAGACTCAATATTAAATATGTACTACTAAGGACAGGGGAACATCCCTCTTGTTCATCTCAAGAAATAGCAATAACAATGTTCAACTCTCTAAGTCCAAGCTAGCTTCTTCTCGATTATGGATGAGAAATATCCCTGAAGTACTTCTGAAGAAATTGCAATAATATGGATTATTACAGACAGACTACCAATGAAAGACGATTTTAACAGCCCTATATTTGATGATAGTTGGCTAAAACTCACCTGTGTTAAAGAATGAACTATTACCTGTTAATGAGATTTTCCAGTGTAAAACATGTCTTACCTGTTCTGAAGTTTTACCTGTGTAAATCATGTCTTACCTGTTCTGAAGTTTTACCTGTGTAAAACATAGGATCATCACCTCTCATAAAGTTTTACCTGTGTGACACCTACTATAAATTTTACCTGTGTAAAACAGAGGAACACTTGGCACATACAACTGCTATGTTGTCAAATGGGAACAAAATCTCTTTGCTCTCACAGAGCTCACAGATAAATCCCTTTGCTTGGCATTTCTGTAAGTAAAACAATAGTATAGCCTCATTATCTTTTTTATCAAACAGAGAAGAATTACCAAAAAGTAGTTAATTTTGACAAGACAATGAACATAACTCTAAATTTATCACTGGTACATGATGCAGGTAAATTCCTTTTTGTTTACCTAAGGATTTCTGTCCTTGCAACAACTAGGTTCTTATGAACACTGTGTAGGGATAATGCTTTGACAGTGCCAGCACACTGAAACAATATACCCTGGACAAGTGTTAAGTTCAAATAAGGTAAAAACAAAGTACTTTGAAAATGACAAACTTTAGTACAAAAAAAGTACTCTGAAAATGACACACATTTTAGCGCAAAAATGTACTCTGGGATATTTCAAAGTCCAGAGAAGTTTGTGTAGTAAAAATGTACATCTAAAAATTTTAGAGTCCAAATTTAGTACAAACAAAGTATACCAATCATGATGACTTGCTTTGAAAAGTACAAAAAAAAATACTTTTTTTTACATTCCAAAAAAGTACAAATCCAGTCACATTATACTGACAAGTGGCTCCCCTTTCCATGCTGAGAATCAAGCAGGGACAATTATAATGTCTCTTTGCGTGTCACAGCCATCTACCTCTTTGACAGATGTTCACCACAAGAAAAACAAGAGAATTTTTTTTGAAAGGGGACAATACTTAAAAAAACGGTCTTAAAAAAAGAGATAAATATAAAAAGTTTTTAAGAAAAGAGAGTAAGTACAGTGAAGTATAAATAATGACTGTCTGGTTCCACTTCAAGCATATTAGTGATATGGATAAAATTGTTATAAAGACATGAGCTTTCACTTCAAGCATATTAGTGATATGGATAAAATTGTTCTAAAGACATGAGCTTCCACTTCAAGCATATTAGTGATATGGATAAAATTGTTCTAAAGACATGAGCTTCCACTTCAAGCATATTAGTGATATGGATAAAATTGTTCTAAAGACATGAGCTTCCACTTCAAGCATATTAGTGATATGGATAAAATTGTTCTAAAGACATGAGCTTTCACGTCAAGCATATTAGTGATATGGATCTAATGATGGGAGGCATGTAGATATTCAGTTTTGTTTTTGTACAGAACATTCAACACATCATGATTATATTTGAGTTGTTCGTAATCTGTAAAATTCTCTCATTACATGTTATATCTGCATCCAATTTTAACGTTAAAAAAACATGAAAATATTCATGTGAAATCTTACTCAATGTCAGTGGGTAAAATACAGGTCAGGATGATCTACATCAGTTTTGCAAAACTGTTGATATCACCTGTTAAGTATTTGCTTATTTCACAGACTTATCTAAAATGCTAAGACTTTCCTGGTATAAAAGAGATGGCCATATTGAACCCCAAACCTTTTACTTCCTTTGTTACTCTCACCAGAACATGTGATATCCTTAAAAATATATTGAAACCATTAATAATCAGTAATACAACAGATGAAAGTAGTCATTGTAGTATATCAGCTACTAATTAATTATATTTACCTGACAGTCTGTTTTGATGTGTTGTGCCCAGGCAGCATGGATGGAGACAAGTTTACCCAGAAGGACATCAGACTGAATCTCCAGGAGGTCTTTCATAGAATATGTGTCCCAGTTCTCAACAAAATGCTGTCGTTCTCGAAGCAGCAATAAAAATTTCTGTTTCATAGCATCTCCACACACTAGCAGGTATTTTTTCATGATTAGAATCTCCTCCCTGAGTTTCTAGTTAAAAAATATTTCCAAAGATTTAATCTAACACATGTAGCAGCTGTGCTAAAGACTTTTGATACTCTACATTGAAGATGAAAGTAAGCAAAACATTTGTTTACTGTTGACAAAAAAAGCAAACTTGAATATCCTCAGACTTCAAAAGTTCGAAAATGAACATATGTAGGTGTAATATTCTTTACTATTTTTCAAAAAACTAGCATATACGTAATTTAAGACTTGAATCACTCCAAAATGGATACCTGTATAGAAAACTATGAGATTTCAATTTAATAATACTGAATACAGATCCAAAAGAATATTCTGCTAAATGTTGATATCACAAGTAGATTATATCTTCATCAAACGTACAACAGGATGTGCCTTTCTGAAAGACACAGCATAAATTACCTTGATTTCATTTATTTCATCAACGAAACTGAAGAGCATAGGATTGACATCTTGTATTTGCATGGCAGCTTTTGTCATCATCAACTTTAGATATTGTTTGGATGCCCTGCACACCTGTAGAAATAAAAAAGGTGTGATATTTTAACCAGGTATTGGATGTTCAACACCCACATAGAATCAAATGTGTGATATTTTAATCAGTTATTTAATGTCCGACACTCATGTAGAATCAAGAGGTGTGATACTATAATCAGGTGTCCTGCACACCTTTAGAAACAAATTAAGTAAAATAGGCTCAAGTCTTATATTATTTTGAGAAATTGGTTTTTTGATAAGAGAGCCTACACAGTGCCAATTAACTTCTACAAATTAAAGACAATCTTGTTAACTGAAGTCTGTGTATATTTTTTTGTTCAATGGATAGAAACATTTCGTGTAGAAATTAAATTACCTTTCTAGGTTCAAAATCCCAGTTGTGGAGGACGCGGGCAGGAATGACCATGGTATCGTTCCAATGACACATTTCACAGTAATAGTTACCAGAGTAGTCACACAGTCGCGGTTCACTGAATCCAGGCTCTAATATACACAGGGGCAAAATTATTGATAATTCAAACCAGACATTTTTGATAGTACATGGATATCTTTTACAATAAAAGTTTTAGGATGAGAACAGTTTCACAGAACCAACAATGTCATATTATGACCCATCAAAGTAAGATATTGGCGTAACATAAAATTATATATATATATATATATATATATATATATTCACTAAGATGAGAGGCAGGTAAGTTGCCCCAGGACCAAATCTTTACCATTCCATTAGAAACAGTGGTAAACTACATGTACACTAGGAAGATACTTACTAAATGATATTGGGGCCCTGCACTCAGCACATCTGTAATTCTGGAAGGACAGGCCCCGTGTAGGGCATATGTCATTGGTATATGTTGGATTTTCCAGTACCTACCAAAGATGGAAACATTTCAATATTATACCTCCTAGCTGATATCATTTTGTTATCTGTTGTAAGGAAACACAAAATTCTTACCTGTATTAATGATAGAACCCATAACCCATATTCTAGTTCAATATACTTACATACTGAAGTGTATTCCTTATCCATCAACCATGATAAATAATGAATCAAATGTAATCATGACCTTGTGACATAGAAGAACAATCAGGAAGAAATTAAAGGGAATGATATATTTCACTTTCTTCATAAGTAACTTATACCAATTTATACAGTAAACATTCCAAACGATAAAGTATTATGTGTGAAGTGGCAGCTCTATTGCTTTACACTGGAACATCAAACCATAGCTTTAAGTGTTAGATAATTTTATGTTGTATATTTGTTGGTGATCATATGCAGCTTTATCACACAGACATAATTCTATAGAGAATAGATATACTTACTTTCAGACTGGCACATGTCCTTGTGATCATGTTCAAGCACTTTTCATGAGAACTATATCCACATTCTGAAATGTGAGATTAGTATGAACTGACAAATGTCTCAGATGTCTTCCTCGACTTTAAACACAGCAATGCATAGTACCATAATATAAAATAAATAATATGATACAATAAATACATAATACAACATTGTAAAATATGTAATACATCACTATAAGATACATGATAAGATCTACGGTAAGCATAAACATGACTACATAAATCTATTGTTACTATTTTGATTACCCAGTATATAGACCTACATTGATCGACTGTTACCATGGCTACACACCTGTACATTTAAACCAGGTCTGTATAACTCCCAGAATCATGGCATTACATTTCTCACAGTAATGCTTGCTACTGCTACTTGTCTGACATTTAAACTTATGTCCAACTGCAAGTTTTACGTCATCTTCCATCGGCAATGGTCCCTCCTGTGAATGGACATTAAGTGTGTATAAGTAGAGATAAAAACAAGGTGCTTTCTGTAAACCTTTATCAAGTGCATGTGGGGATAAAAGCAATCATTGTACAACACAGTTTCTGACATTATTAGAAATCAATTGATGACATTTCTTAAAAACAATATCTTCAAGATAAGCACAAAAGAATTTCTTATGAACTTGAGAAAGATAAAAAGAATTTGCATGGGGGGATGCTAACTAGCTTTCATCCATATTTTGCCCTCATCTCATCAATTTGGTTTCAAAGTATCATGATTCATGACTAATATCTTTTAATCCAATATTTACTACTATCAATACCAATGTCCTAACACTAGCTATCACTATTTTACCATCATCGTCCATTTACCTTGATTTCCTGCAGCTTCAGTCGGAGTTGTACCAGCTTCTGAACCAGGTTTTTCTGTTTGTCCGAGTCCTGAGGCACCTGTAAGATCATGTCCTTGCAGTTTTCTATAGCCATCTCCATTTCCTCTGTGCCGCTTAGACCAAAGTGTCCCTAGCAACCAGATCAAAACACCATGTCATAATACTACTTAGGCTTTAGTGTCTATCAACCTCATAATGACACAATGATACTTTGGGCAAACATCCCTAACAACCAGGAAATGATGTCATGTCACAATACTACTTAGGCAAATACTCATTCTCAGAGGAAAATAACAAACATCCTCTTTGCTTTTTATGATAGTAAAGAAAATTCAAATTCATACCAAACCTTCACAACAGTAAATTAAAAGTGCAAGAAAGAAACATTATTCTGTAACAGAGGAAATCAGGAGCACATGTAACAATCACCTATCTTTTCCAGAAGTGAATTTACCTTAAGTCATGTGGTAGGGCATAGGGACCAACATGTAAGCCAGAGCATGAGGAGAAAAATTTCATAACAATTTTTTATTACAATTATTAAGGTATTGCACAAAATTAAAAATTCTGAAAGATTTCAAAACATTGCAATGAATCAAATGCTTTACTAACCACTGAGTGTTATACTACTCAAACCCTATTAACGTGAATTGCTTTAAACTTTTAAGAGTTGAGACAAAATGTTTGATATCAATAATCCTCTAAATACACAAATCAATTAAATGTAAAACAATTGGATGTAATAGCAGCAAAGTTAAACCTCTGGGTGTGAGAAGTGGTCCTCAGCCAAACCTAAGTCAGCATATGTGACTTCACCATCTGTGTTGTCAGAAAGGTTGGTCCATGAGGAATTGGTTTCTGTAAACAGGATGAATGAAGAATGTCAGTCAACACTGATTACTTGTGTGACACAGATACTCTAAGTTTTTAAAGACAGTTAAAGATTTAAAATCAGTTTTGATTTTTTGAGATTTATCTTACAGCTGTTGTTATCACCTGACGTAGAAATGGAAGATCACCAATTTATCACTTCAACATATTTTCCCTATATTCTTATCACCATCTTGTCACGCTATTTACTAGTTAGTGTATGTACGTAAGATTATACTAAAGCTGCAAAGACCTGTCAATTCATTACTATCTCATACACTGTATATATAAGTACTAACATGCTTTACACTGGTCTTTTGTCTGATGAAGGTGTAATAGGGTCATATCTTGTCTACTGGTAGTGATTCCTGCAGTATCTTTATTTTGTATTGTAGTATATATATATATATATATATATGTACTGGTTATGTACATGTGTGTATTACTTATCATCGCAAACACATCGTTAGTGTCACGTTTTACCTGCATACGTAACATTTATACGTATTGGCGAGCGTGTCCCTTTATTTGTGTAGTGTATATGTATGTACTTTTGTACGTGAGTAGTGTTCACTGACCGACTGGACACAAGACATTTGACGGACTTTGACGAAGTTGTTTGATTGGTTGATAGTTTCTCCTGGATATATGTCTATTACTATATCGGGGTACATTTGTAAGTTTTCTCTAACCTTATATTTTTCTAGTTAAAGTTTTTCTTCTAACATATTCTCCCCTGTGAGTGATGAGTGTTTGTATGAACAATATAATTGTTACAATAATGTTTTAACTGTAACTGAACTTTCAGGGTAATATTTTGAATCAACGTTGTATATGTATTATAATCTTCATAAATCCTATACTTTATGAATTTATAAGCATTATGCATTTCTTTCCTGAAATCTTCTGTAAATTTCATAAGAGGTTATTTCTTATTTGTAGTTCTACTATAACTGACAACAATGTGATATTGTGGAGTGTTGCGAACTTGTATATGCCTTGTACGTAAGTGCACAATACATGTTGTAAGTGTGATTTTACTCTATTACTATTAGAATGGCCATGTTATAAAGTATATCATTGGATCATATATTTTATTCAAACGTAGAAGTATAATTGTTGAATATGTAACGAGAGATTGTGTGAGTGTTCGATTATGTTTTATTGTATATTCCAGAATGTCTATTTTACATCGATTAATCAATTAAACATTGAACGAACCCAACGGTTTTGTTTTTTGGAACAACACCACCCGCTACAAAATGGCAACCATGTTGGGACCCGTTGATCGAGGGTCTGGAGACTTAGAGGGTCGTTAGCTCACTCACGCACAGATCGTTGGATTCCAGTTCCGCCATGTTTCTTATTTTGTTATTTTGAAGCCTAACAGTTAATTACATAAATACTAACACCATCACTATACCTATATCTCTGTTCATATGATATCAGGTTTTGTTGTTGATGACAAATTAATCATAAAATTACAAATAAAAGCACATTTAAGACTTGTGAAATGTAAAAGATCTTCAGACTTAAAAAATATGATAACATTCTGGCAGTATATCATTATCTTTTACCTGACGGCTTCCTATGTGGTCTGTTTGCGTCAGTAGATGTATTAAAATAATCCTCTTCCATGTGAATGTCATTGTCAAATGGATTAAAACGTTTTTTCTCATAGTCTTTCCTCAGATCCTCCTCTGACTGGCTTGCAGAGCTAGATCGATCCCTATCATCAACAGGACTGACATTTTGACCTGTATTCTCATCATTACACAACACATCTGAACTAATACAGCTTGCTTCATCTGGCAAGCCACTGTTTTCTGCTTTTTGAAGTTCAGTCTTTAATTCCTCTTCTTGTTGGGGTTCATCATATTCACCTCCAGATGATGTGAACTCTTCCTCTGAGTCTGACAGTCCTGTCAAGATGTTGCCAGTTAGTTTGACTGATGCGGTATTGCTTTCAATGCGATGAATGACCCCGGCTGATCCCTGGGGGTTAGTCAGAGATGTCCTTTGATGCTGAGGTAGAACAGATGTACTAGTTAACCTAGCATGCTCTAGATCCTCCTCCTGATTCATCACAGCTCTACAAAGCAAGTCCTTCATATGTTTTATTTGTATATGAATGCATAGAAACGAACTAGATGATTAAAAAAAATAAGTATTCTTTAGTTCTAACATTCAGAATTATTCAAATGTAAAGGTAAAACTGCAACAAAAGAAAGTGTCAAGATTTTGACCTAATAACCAATATAACATTGTACATTTTTGACACAAATAGTTAATACTTCAACTGTATGGCCTTTTTGTAAAAGCACAAACTTTAGCATCTCCATTGATTATAGTGTGGCTGTACAGAACACAGGAAAATCCATGCTCATATATAAGCCATTTGCACTGAATGCTCCCAATGGGTATACACAATAGTAAGTGGAGAACGAAGTTAGGAATATAAATTGTCATTTTAACATAAATTAAGGTACTATAAATGTATATACAATGTCACATTGGCTATTGAGCCATGTTAAAAAGATGGCACTCTTTTTTTATAAATGATTTTGAAAAAAATTATGTCTTCTTAAAATATCCGTATTTGGGTAACAAATTTATTACTTTATGTAGTTACTGTAACGCAAGTGCATGACTATTACTCGTATGGTTGGTTGTACCAAACCTGTTGAAAGTTTGATGTTACATCTCTGTCTTGTAACACAAGATATTTACGGAAGTAGAATTCCAGACTGCAAATATTACTTGATATTTATAGAGTGTAATGATACTCTATATTAAAGGGTTTAGCTTTTAGTAGCTGATCTAGGCCAAGATCAAAGCCAGATTGAAATACGTCGTACTTCAGTGGAACAGCACAATACAATATTTTTTTATTTTTACAAAACTAGTCAATCATCAAGTTCGTTTGGCTCTGGCTTCTAAACACACAAGCTGTTAATTTCAGTGTTAATAATTTTTACCACTGTGTTTAACATGTGTTTTTTGTGACCATATACAGCTACAAATACACAAATGAATGTCTTTTACCTGGTTTGTGTCGCTCATATGATTCCCGGAAGTTTTTGCTGTTGCGTACCCAATAGGGGAGATAACTCTTAATTCTAAAAAGGAAATAAAATTTTAATTGTTGGACTTTGTTTTCGCGAGTTTTTCTGGCTGTAAAGCTGCTTTGCATATAACACGACCAGTGTTTGCTATAATAGGTAAGTATAATCTGCAAATGACATATCAAGCAAGTTTTTTTACTACGACTTTTCGAACAAAGCGAAAGTAAAAGCAAAACATTCGGAATATCTCATACTTATACTCTTCGGAATGCCTCTAACTTCATAAGTATATGATACATATTGTACTCAAGTTGTCTTGAATTTGTTTCGCTCACAGCAAAAATGATGTATAGTGAAAACAGTCCTGTAACGCGTCAGTGATCTCTCTTCTGATGACCCTATGATATAATTTGGGTTCCTATTTGACTTCTAACATTGGTAAAAATGACTGGTACATATATGTTCCTTTTTCCTATTCCAATATAGCAACAATTGGAACAATGTTTTTAATATTTCAATATTTTGCATATTGTATTTTTTGAGTCTGGTATAGAGGACTTGTATATAAGTCCTCAGCCGGAAATAAACTTATCTTATCTGATTTAACAATGGTCCCAGCATCATCGGATGTCCCTTACTGTTACGTTGCACTACTCTATGTAAACGCAACAACGAAGCATTTTCCCAAGTTGAACGTCCTATCAATCGCAAATATACTACCATCCTCCCGTGCAAAAGTCAGAAATAAAATCTGGTATTTGCTACTTTGTATGGTAGTTTGCCCTTTACAATCTCAATCTCAATAAACCTTATCTCGTATTTGCTTACCTGATTTAGGGCCCAGCGCTCTAGTCTTCTGTAGCAGATTTTTTTCGGTACTTTTTGCATATCCATAAGGTGGATTCAATGTACTGTCGTTTTTTTCACAATATTCTACCAGTGCTTGATTAAACAAATTGTCTGGAGCTCCTTGTACTTTGTTCTTTTCAGTTACAGTTTTTGGTGTTTCAGAGAAGGTGTTGCAACAGGATCTTGATCAAGCCTATCCACATTTACACATTTTGAAAACATGAAAATGTCTACAGTGAGTTTGAAATTTAGGGTAATTGAGTAAAGATTAAGGTCACTACTATGATCTTTGAACAAGAGGTCAATTTGGCCTGTATCACTCACCTATTTAATTTTTATCAAACATACAATCAATGTTATTGCAAAAACATCAGCACGGGCACCATTGGCATTCATAGTGGGCATGCCAAATTAATTTTAACTGATTTCCACAACAAACTTCAGCTTCTAACATTCGGCTCTAGACAGTGACGGTTATGAGCTGGTGCTAAGGTAGCTATCACTTCTTTCTTCTTTTCCTCAAAATTTCTGTGGATTTAACACGGAAACGTCTTTCTACCAGATATTCTGCTTCTCAGACTTTTGGTTTACCAAAAGAAGTCTTTAACAGAATTTGATTGACTGCTGTGACCTTGGAATATTGTTCAAGGTAATTCTTTTTGCAAATATTGTCAGGCATCACCCAAGAGATTTACTAACCAAATATGTTGCTAGGCCATTTGGTTAATGTTTTAACAAATTTGACCCCTGTGACCTCTGTGCCTATAGGTTAATCAGAATATGTCATCTTAAGGTTTCAACAAATTTAATCCATGTGACCTTGAATATGGGTCAAGGTCATTTCTTTTTACAAATTTTATTGTGCTCTTCAGGCCAGATGAGGGGGAAAAAATTAGTGCTCTAGTTGCCTCATTCCTTACAGGATTTTGTTCTAGCCGTACACATTAAAGACCAAAACATTTTTACACAAAGGTGTTGAAACTGCACTATCAGATCATCATTTATTATTGCATTTTTGTTCCATTACTGTATTCTGTAGCACCATCTTTACATTACAGTGTAGTTTGGGGACTGGTAGGGGTCATGTATTGCTTTAGCAATACTCAATATAATTTTAAACCATTTTAATCTGGCTATTATCAATCTTGTCTACTCATGTAAAGAGTATGTCATCCTTATTTTCATACCTAATACAGTACTGTATTCAGTGGCACCTTCACTGCCCAACAATACAGACAGATGCTGATGAATATGCTCTGATAATACTGTCTGTAAAATAATCACAACAAATAACAATTAAAATGTATGATTTGTGAAGCATTTATTTAATAAGAATAAAGGCACCTCCATTTGTCAACAGTTAACATATGAATTTATATCACGAACATACTACATCCATACTTAGTAAATCATTGTCCCTAGGACAGGTATACTGTCACTGATACAAACACTAGAGAAGTCCACTCCTTAGGAATACCATGCCAGTGGAAATTGCTACCATCCCAATCTAGACAGCTCCTGTTCGCATTACTATTGCCCTGAGAGACTGACTTTTAATTCATTTAGAGAATATGAGATAGGCCCTAAATATTTACTTATATTATAAATTAGTACCAGACAATCACACGAATGTATATACAGGTACATATTGTAGTATTACCTGCACTATATAACTGTGTCGTAAAGAAATACAACTGAAGTAGAATACATTTGTGTGTAACTGTGGTTGTATGTGTCTTATGAAGTACAAGTAACTATGTAGTGATAGACATATATCAGGAAGATTAAACAGATACCTACCATCATAATAGAACAACTCTGTGTATGTTGTGGTGTCCATTCATATAAAAATACATCTAACATTCAAAGTTAAGAACAATATGAGCATAAGAATCATCAGCTACAAAACAACAGCTAGATAACATGTATCACCAAGATATATTTTAGTATAATTTTTATCTTAATAAAACACTTATCATTTAGACAATGATTAACCAGTACAAGATTGTCACTGCCAGGCTATCAAACCTTATTCATTAGATTTCTATGTGTATGCTTTTTAACATTCCCTAGCAATTTCTTATTATGTATTTCATCAAATCTCCAGTAAGGCTGCGAGTCTATGAACTGCATTTAAATGTTAATTCTAAAAATGAAAGAAGCATACCTACAATATTTTGACCTATTCCTGTGAAATAAAATCATTAATATCTGAAAAATGAGTTCTGTTTGATTTTCCAGAATAATGGGATCCATTTATAAGCTGGAGGTTTTCATAAAAAGATAGAATAACTGTAACGATTATTGTTATTATTTTTATGAGGGACACAATGAAGTTTATTATTTCAGTCCATTTTTATAGGTAATAAATTGTCAGGACATTTGACCTTTGATCTTTGCCAACATTGTTTTTTGTACCTGCAGAGCCTGGCACACCACTTGATATAAATAACAAAACAAATCCAACAACAAAGAAGAATAAAAGTACAGATTTTTAAGAAAAAAATTGTGTTGGTCCCTAATGCCAAGCATCTTTACAAACTTACACAACCCATAACTAAAATAATTACTTTATCAATTCCCATTTGCCTTCAATATTAAAAATAATCACAGATATTTTTCTCAATCTTTCTTTTTCCTATCTTATATCGGAGAAAATTGTGATAAAATTAAGGGATTAACTCGGATAAGAATTTTTCCTTCATCTAAATTTCCTATTTCCTTGGGCATAGTAAGTTGACAAAAAATTGGGATTTCACATCCTTCTAATGACATCTGGAACCAGCTAAAGATGAGTAACTTGAAGTACGACAAGGGCTGATTGCATTGCTAATCATTATAATTGAATATTTCACACAATTTGCTCAGTAAAACACTACAATTTTTTACGAAAAATGGAAAGTAAATAAGAACTCGGGACCATGTAATAAATTAACGTTAAGCAGAAGTACAAACCTATGACATATAACAGACATGGAACACTAGATTTAAGGGTTGATAAGTCAGCTCAACCAGCAAGCTGACTATATCATTCTAATAACTTTGATTATTTATTGGTATGGCAATCATTACAACAGACCAACATTACCAATGCTATATGTACATAGGTGTGTAGATAGTATGGTTTTAATCAACTCAACTCATCTGAACGTGAAACAGTCAAGCAGAGACCCCGGGCAGGTCAACAGAGTGCAGATGAGGGAACATAAAACAGTCAGGTAGTGAATTCTGGCAGGTCAGTGGAGTTCAGATGAGAGGAACATGTGATCTAAAATTCTAAGTCAAAACAGACATGAGAAATCAAAATATGAGTAAATATAAATACACTGCAACACACAACTCTTTCCAATAAGTTGATAATGTCTCCATTTACACTGAAGGGCAATTGTAACAGCATGAAAAATGTCTAGTACGAAACAAACAAAACAAAACCAACCGATTTCCCTTACACTAATGAATCTCTCCTGAGCAAATTATAAATCCATTTTAATATTTTATCACACAATACGATGTACATCAGTGTGAATATAATTACAGTAAATGGAATGCAACATCACAGAGTCAATAGAGTCTGTACAGCACACCATTTTCAAGTTGTGATAATTATCTATCACAAGTAGATGGAACTCAAGCTGTTTCTAATGATATCTTACAACCCTTTATAACGACTTGAATTATTTCAATTGACCAGCAGTTCCATATATATTTACCTACTGTAGTTGTCCTATAACTGCATAAATGTATAGTCAAGCTGTCATTTTTGGGCTTCTAAAATCCAAAATATCAAAAATTCCATCACAACATATATTCTTTGAATCACCTTATTTCATAAATTTCACATTTCAATATACATAAATAGATCCACAGTGTGATCCAAATTACCATACATTTAATATATTATTTTCATTATGTTTTGTAGGCAGACAATTTACTGATAAAATCACAGCACTGTAGGTTGATATTTAAGAAAGTAAATAAGGGTTTTGACAAACATGAACTGCAGTTATACACCTGTAAATACATGTAGCATACATGTAACATGTACATGAGAATGGTTTTATTATAGGTAAATAATTAAAACACCCAAATATGATGGTAAATATTCACCATAAAAGTCCATTCTAATATATAAAGAAGATCTGTTTGATAATAATCAGTACAGTTCATACTAACACATTACAACACGACAACTGATGAGTAAGTCACGAAGTATTTCATTTTTCTTTCATAATTGTGTAAAACGAAATCAATAAAAAACCAATGTTTTCATTAAAATGACACTGATAGCTGATGACTGGATATGATGTAACATTGTAACAACAGCACAAACAACATCTTTTCTTTCCATCTGAAAAAATTTAAATACATACCGGTAGTCAATGAAATATGTATGATATTCTATGAAATATTTCTGTAGAAAATATAAAATTTTTTGTGTTGGATTTGGTGTAATTGGTGTTAGGTTGTATGGGTAGGGGACAATGAAATTTGAACAAGTCCACCACATATACATACACATATTAGAGTCTTGGTTTGTCATAGAATATTGTGCTGTGATGCATTCGTCCACTTTCCTGGCTGAAGTTATTAAAGAAAAGTTTTTCTAGTGCTATCTCATTTAAATATTTGTAAAGTGTCTCCTCAAAAGCAACAAGGAGATACCACACTAGGAAAATTACAACCAGTACAGGAATATGTTATAACTATCAAATAATTATACATATATTGGGGATTTTCTGCACAAGACGTGAACTTCTGCAGAGACGAGACAAACAGGATTTGTCTCCCTTCTATTTTTAACACTGGTGAATGATCCAATTGCATTTTTCTAAAACCTATCAACCCCATAGAGGTACTGCGAATACCTTGAATGATTTTTGATAATTGCTGATAATGTGGTATTTTTGTTATTGTTTAAATGGTTTACTTAATGTTAATTAATTAATTATGCCATTTAAAACAGAAATCTTTCAGGGGAAGCAGAGTTCAACATCTATGTAGATATGGCACAGGATGAAAATCCCTCTGTTCTCCAAACAGGCACGAGTACTTTATAATCATGCTGTATACTGCAGGCAAAAAAAAAAAGACATAATCATATGTAAAATAAACATCATCTCAAGAATACACGCTTACATGTACCACTCAAACATGTACAGTAAAAAGGAAATGAAACCAAAATTGCACCATATATAGACATGAAATAGATAATAAATCTCAACATATATTTCTCAAAAGTCTACTTTTTTCTATCTATATAATGATTAGAATTTCTACATGTTTATTTCAAAACAATGCATCATTATCTATGCATACTTTGATCAGGCATCAAGGATAAATGTTCATTAATATACATATTTAATAATAAGTTGTAGTATATCACATTATACATTCACGGTAAATAACTTCTTTTATAACAATGTTAATTCTATGCCAGAGCCAATATACCTGGCCATTCATACTATTAGTATTGTTTGGCTTGGATTTAAATATGGTACATCTTGCTTGTATCACGAATGTAAATTTCAGAACCTGAAGAAACAGAGGTAAAGTTTTAAAAAAGGATGCAAAATGATAAGCTGTAGTTAGCTTTAAACCTAAAGGATACTGATTTAGCAATTCGGAATGAAATGGACTAGAATGTATGAAAAGCCATGGCCCATGATACTGTAACTGACCATCAGTTGCTGCTGTAAACATATAGAACACTTATCAGATATCACTTTTTCCATCAAATATTAAATACACATACAGTGCTGATCAAAGGTATTAGAGACTGTAGCATCAGTAATTTACTGACAATTGTAAGGTTACGAAATCTACCAGACTTCAAGGAGTCCAAGAACCTAGAAGCGCCGATTCAAAAGAAAACATCAAATACTGCATAAGATAAATCACTCTGCAGACAAACTGATATAATGAATATTATTTTTTCTATTATTTCAATGCCAAGCATAATAAATTCACTTCCTATTAAGTTTGAGTCAATGAACACGGTATTTTTTGACAATGAACAAACACTTTGTTCTATTATATGAAAATCTCACTAAACAAAAGGTGGTATACAGTCATTTTGAGAAAAAGATTTCATTACTATTTATTGAAAAATAATCAATATACAGATATCAAAAACACAACAATTAAATAAACAACAATCTGTTCGTAAACCTTACATATTTTATGTGCCATGGAATCTGATGTCTTTTCACCGATTTGAACTATAAATGAAATGATTCCGACAAAACAGAAAGTATAACTGGTAATTCAACAACAATGTCTTATGCATTGATGTAGTCTTAAAACTAACCAAACCATAATCAGGATGTTGAATTACCTCATATTGCCTAGGAATTTAATGCCTTCAAAGAGAAAATAAAATTTGTTAGAATCTAAAACAATTCCTATGTATAATAACATTCCATTTCATGAAGGTTCCAGGTGATTTTCAGCCATGTTTGAAAATTTTTCAGTTAATTTTTTTCCAGCTTTGCTTGTATCTAGTATCACAGACAACAAATATTTAAAACAATTTGCAAGAACCTATCTTTACATGAAAAATTGTTTCAAATTCTTCACTCTGCTGCAACTTAACAAATAAAAAATAACTCAACTTAAGAGAAAAATGATCTAATAATTTAAATCATTAAGGCCAACGAAGAAAATACAAACCATTAATTCTCATCCAAGACACAATTTAATATAAATTTAACTTCTATAAAGCCTCATTTCTCTAATTTCTGTTGTGAGAAATTTCCTGTTACAACCAATTAAGATAACTTTCAGATAAAATGCTTCCTTCCATGGCAAAAGGTAAGGTATGTAGAGAAAACATGAAAGAGTATAGTCATGAAGACATTTTGTCACTCATAATTCTTTTTGTGTCATAGTTTTTACAAAGTAAAAGTCACAATAAAACGACATTTTACAGATTCTAAAATGAGGACAATAATGTTTAGTCCATAATTGCTTGGACTATCCCTAAATAAGATGACAATCACCAAAATTTTAGAAAATCATTACAGGAATATCTCGAAATAAGATTTACATGTTCAGAACAATGTACAACTGAATTAATATAAATAATTGTGACATTAAGGCATGTAGCACACTATAACTATATGACTTTGTAGATGAAAGTAACTAAAAAGATCCCTGTACTGTAAGCTTTACACATCTAACCCACATTAACAGATTTTGCCTTTTACTGTACCCTGTCCTATCCTACCTAACCAAATAGATTAATGGCTTTTACAAAATATACATCTGTATCTTTGTAATCATTCTTAGTACAGATGATTTCAATAAATAAATGGTATACATGCTCTATGTCCTGTTGGAAGTCAGCTATGATGTGATAAAATTTATCTTAGTGAGGATAAATGGTCTGAATATTCAAAAAACAGCTTCCAGGGCTGTAAATCTCAGAATTTGAGAACAAACAATATCTGCAGTGCTGATCTGTGTTCCTTCTCAAACTTTTTGAAAGGCTTCAAAGAGGCTACCATGTACTTGCTGATAATTCTGAATTGAAGGCCATGCAAATTCAATCTCCAGGATCTGGTCACTAGATATCTAAACAGATATATAAATAAAACCTAATTTCATCAGAAGTAGCACTTTCCTGAAGTCATAGAGAACTGGAGATTCGTGCATTCAATACTTGATTGCGGACTACCAGCAATTTTTAACAAGCACATGTGACACATAATTTCTAATCCACATCACACTACTACGCGCTATCAAATTTCACAAGTGTCTCTTCCAGTTGCTGTGTTATCTGAAAAAAGACATTAATTTATATCATAATCTTTAGATCAACGGTAAACTAGAAACTTAAATACAAATAGGCAGATCTTTATCATTTGAAAAAAAAATCAGTCATTTTAAATTAAGAAAACGCCTATGAAACCTTCGTCTCATGATAATATCAAGTAAATGCTTCACGTTACCTTTATAATATTAAAGTCATCATGACATTTGTTACAGACAGAAAACCTCAATCAAACAATTTACTCACTTTTTTATAAAAAGTTATTTGTTCCATCAGGTATTTTTTCATCATGACTTTGAAGTCTTGTACCCGCTCCTTTTGGAAATGTGACATCTGGGCCATTGTACCGTAGGTGATGATATCAGCCTTGTTCACCACTTTTTGTACATCACTTTCTGACATTTTACCTTCCTTCTGTTCATTCATACATTCCTTTGCTCGTCCCACAGCACCCTGTACCAATTACAAGTCATGAGCTTATGTACTTCAATTCATGGTGTATCAAGCTAGTGGGCAATCATTTTTGAAAATATTGAGAGTATTTTTTTTTGACAAATAATTTCATTATACGATAAATATCACTTTATTAACTGTACAATAATGTCCCATTACCTTCACTAAATAAAGTGTCCATTCAGGAATTTAGTTTAAGGAATAGTTTTTGTTCAGAAGCTATAAATGGATGTAATTATCCTGAGATCTTTTGCATATAAGTCAACTGGACTCTTTTTTTTTTGACAAATTGTAGGTATGAGAACTGCCACTGAATAATTATCTGGACAGAATCATTGTTTACAAGTTGTAGGTATGAGAACTGCCACTGAATAATTATCTGGACAGAATCATTGTTTACAAGTTGTAGGTATGAGAACTGCCACTGAATAATTGACTGGACAGAATCGTTGTTTACAAGTTGTAGGTACGAGAACTGCAGCTCCAAAGTTTTCTGGATCAATAATTTGTTGAGAAGCTGTATGTATGAGAACTGCTGTGACTAGTGAAGCTATGTGTCTACCTCGTGTATCTTTAGGTTGTCAGGGTAGGTGCTGAGTATCCCCTTGTATTCGTACAGAACGTCTAACATAGGATCGAGGTCTACCTTAGGCTGAAAATAACATGACATCAAATCAATTAAAACAAACAAACGTGTTTCACTTAAACTTTTTTAACATTACTCAGTCAATGTTAGAAGTACCAAGTAACAAAGGCCACATAGTCATATAGACAAACTTCTGAATTTTCCAGGAAACTTTTCAAACAACTGACTGCTTAGACAAATGGTGATTAAACAACATAACAATGGTTTACTGTACCTGTTTTTCAAACATCTCCCCTATCTGGTTGTATGTGTCACCCGTGTAGTCTATTGCTGCTGTCAATCCACCCGAAACTTTGAATTGCCAAAGTTAAATAATGTTATAAATACACAAAACACATAAATCTAATACACAATTATAATCTGAATTACAGTAATGTAGTTATCATGTATAACTTTAAAAAGCATCTGCAAACATTATTTGATGTTTTTACTTATACATATGATCTGAGGGACAATAGTTGCCATCCTATCAACATTTCAGTTTCCCATCTTTGAACCATCTTTCAGACAGTTAAAACTATGTATAATGAAGCTATCAAAGTATTATCAATTTAAAACGAAAAAGGGTACTTACAACTGGAGCTGTCTAGATTAAAGGTTACAGCTAAATTTTTAAATGAATAACCAATTTTCTGGTACTCCCGTTTGTAAGCTGAAAAAGAAGAATGCTTTGTCAATTTCAAATTAAATTCTGAAGGCTAAAATAGTTTACAAAATCTTGGAAATTAAGTTTTTAATATTTTTTTCATAACAATGAAAGACAAAATATCAAAATTTGTTTTAGAAATTTCAAAATCTATTCAAAGAGATATGAAAAATAAGGTAAACAAATCACAATTGACTATACTGCTGTTTTGACTACTTATGATAGATTAAATTCCCAACACATGATGAATGATCAGGACAAGTTCAATACTCACGGCCTAGATGTTTTTTTCTGTTATCACTCATCACATTTATCAGACCCTTTACATTGTCATCCATTCCTTTTACAAATTTACAAAATGTCTCCATCTTCTTGTCCCTGAAATGTATTAACCAAAAGATTTTATATATTCACTGAATCCACTGCCAGGTACAGAGAATGTCACACGTTGTCACATGCCTAACACCACTTGGTCATGTGATCATTTTGTGATTTCATCAAACTTCATTGTGATATTGTTATTTACAGAGCTTCATAAACTGAAATGAGGAGAGTAAAAAAACTAAATAAATTAATGCTAAATCTACTTACACATCTCTCATTTCCAGTTGAGCGACAGGCGTTCTCAGGAGGAAGAAAAACTTTCCAGCTGTGTATTCATCCTTTTCTGCCTTCCTCTTGCCCTCTTTCCACTTCTGCAGTGACCAATGATACACTCAGTAAGAGAAAACTCTACTCTGTACAGTGACCAGTGATACAATCAGTAAGAGAAAACTCTACTCTGTACAGTGACCAGTGATACAATCAGTAATAGAAACCTCTACTCTGTACAGTGACCAGTGATACAATCAGGGGAACACTCTGTACAGTGACCAGTGATACAATCAGGGGAATACTCTGTACAGTGACCAGTGATACAATCAGTAATAGAAACCACTACTCTGTACAGTGACCAGTGATACAATCAGGGGAATACTCTGTACAGTGACCAGTGATACAATCAGTAATAGAAACCTCTACTCTGTACAGTGACCAGTGATACAATCAGGGGAATACTCTGTACAGTGACCAGTGATACAATCAGTAATAGAAACCTCTACTCTGTACAGTGACCAGTGATACAATCAGGGGAACACTCTGTACAGTGACCAGTGATACAATCAGTAATAGAAACCTCTACTCTGTACAGTGACCAGTGATACAATCAGTAATAGAAACCACTACTCTGTACAGTGACCAGTGATACAATCAGGGGAATACTCTGTACAGTGACCAGTGATACAATCAGTAATAGAAACCTCTACTCTGTACAGTGACCAGTGATACAATCAGGGGAATACTCTGTACAGTGACCAGTGATACAATCAGTAATAGAAACCACTACTCTGTACAGTGACCAGTGATACAATCAGTAATAGAAACCTCTACTCTGTACAGTGACCAGTGATACAATCAGGGGAACACTCTGTACAGTGACCAGTGATACAATCAGGGGAATACTCTGTACAGTGACCAGTGATACAATCAGTAAGAGAAAACTCTACTCTGTACAGTGACCAGTGATACAATCAGGGGAATACTCTGTACAGTGACCAGTGATACAATCAGGAAGAGAAAACTCTACTCTGTACAGTGACCAGTGATACAATCAGGGGAATACTCTGTACAGTGACCAGTGATACAATCAGGGGAAAACTCTACTCTGTACAGTGACCAGTGATACAATCAGGGGAACACTCTGTACAGTGACCAGTGATACAATCAGGAAGAGAAAACTCTACTCTGTACAGTGACCAGTGATACAATCAAGGGAACACTCTGTACAGTGACCAGTGATACAATCAGTAATAGAAAACTCTACTCTGTACAGTGACCAGTGATACAATCAGGGGAACACTCTGTACAGTGACCAGTGATACAATCAGGGGAACACTCTGTACAGTGACCAGTGATACAATCAGTAATAGAAACCTCTACAACAGTAATAGAAACCTCTCAGTGACCAGTGATACAATCAGTAATAGAAACCTCTACTCTGTACAGTGACCAGTGATACAATCAGTAATAGAAACCTCTACTCTGTACAGTGACCAGTGATACAATCAGGAAGAGAAAACTCTACTCTGTACAGTGACCAGTGATACAATCAGTAATAGAAACCTCTACTCTGTACAGTGACCAGTGATACAATCAGTAATAGAAACCTCTACTCTGTACAGTGACCAGTGATACAATCAGGGGAATACTCTGTACAGTGACCAGTGATACAATCAGTAATAGAAACCTCTACTCTGTACAGTGACCAGTGATACAATCAGGGGAACACTCTGTACAGTGACCAGTGATACAATCAGTAATAGAAACCTCTACTCTGTACAGTGACCAGTGATACAATCAGTAATAGAAACCTCTACTCTGTACAGTGACCAGTGATACAATCAGGGGAATACTCTGTACAGTGACCAGTGATACAATCAGGTAACCAGTGATACAATCAGAAAGAAAACCTCTACTCTCTACTCTGTACAGTGACCAGTGATACAATCAGGGGAACACTCTGTACAGTGACCAGTGATACAATCAGGGGAACACTCTGTACAGTGACCAGTGATACAATCAGGAAGAGAAAACTCTACTCTGTACAGTGACCAGTGATACAATCAGTAATAGAAACCTCTACTCTGTACAGTGACCAGTGATACAATCAGGGGAACACTCTGTACAGTGACCAGTGATACAATCAGGGGAACACTCTGTACAGTGACCAGTGATACAATCAGGGGAATACTCTGTACAGTGACCAGTGATACAATCAGGGGAATACTCTGTACAGTGACCAGTGATACAATCAGGAAGAGAAAACTCTACTCTGTACAGTGACCAGTGATACAATCAGTAATAGAAACCTCTACTCTGTACAGTGACCAGTGATACAATCAGTAATAGAAACCTCTACTCTGTACAGTGACCAGTGATACAATCAGGGGAAAACTCTGTACAGTGACCAGTGATACAATCAGGGTGACCAGTGATACAATCAGGAAACCTCTACTCTGTACAGTGACCAGTGATACAATCAGGGGTACTCAATGTACAGTGACCAGTGATACAATCAGGGGAACACACAGTGACCAGTGAACAATCAGAAAACCTCTACTCTGTACAGTGACCAGTGATACAATCAGGGGAAACCTCTACTCTGTACAGTGACCAGTGATACAATCAGGGGAAGACTCTGACAGTGACTCTACTCTGTACAGTGACCAGTGATACAATCAGGGGAATACTCTGTACAGTGACCAGTGATACAATCAGTAATAGAAACCTCTACTCTGTACAGTGACCAGTGATACAATCAGTAATAGAAACCTCTACTCTGTACAGTGACCAGTGATACAATCAGGGGAATACTCTGTACAGTGACCAGTGATACAATCAGGGGAATACTCTGTACAGTGACCAGTGATACAATCAGGGGAACACTCTGTACAGTGACCAGTGATACAATCAGTAATAGAAAACTCTACTCTGTACAGTGACCAGTGATACAATCAGTAATAGAAACCTCTACTCTGTACAGTGACCAGTGATACAATCAGTAATAGAAAACTCTACTCTGTACAGTGACCAGTGATACAATCAGTAATAGAAACCTCTACTCTGTACAGTGACCAGTGATACAATCAGGGGAACACTCTGTACAGTGACCAGTGATACAATCAGGAAGAGAAAACTCTACTCTGTACAGTGACCAGTGATACAATCAGGGGAATACTCTGTACAGTGACCAGTGATACAATCAGTAATAGAAACCTCTACTCTGTACAGTGACCAGTGATACAATCAGTAATAGAAAACAGTGACCAGTGATACAATCAGGGGAACACTCTGTACAGTGACCAGTGATACAATCAGTAAGAGAAACCTCTACTCTGTACAGTGACCAGTGATACAATCAGGGGAACACTCTGTACAGTGACCAGTGATACAATCAGTGACCAGTGATACAATCAGTATAGAAACCTCTACTCTGTACAGTGACCAGTGATACAATCAGTAATAGAAACCTCTACTCTGTACAGTGACCAGTGATACAATCAGGAAGAGAAAACTCTACTCTGTACAGTGACCAGTGATACAATCAGTAATAGAAACCTCTACTCTGTACAGTGACCAGTGATACAATCAGGAAGAGAAAACTCTACTCTGTACAGTGACCAGTGATATATTCCTCTACTCTGTTCAGTGACCAGTGATACAATCAGGGGAATACTCTGAAACCTCTACTCTGTACAGTGACCAGTGATACAATCAGGGGAATACTCTGTACAGTGACCAGTGATACAATCAGTAATAGAAACCTCTACTCTGTACAGTGACCAGTGATACAATCAGGAAGAGAAAACTCTACTCTGTACAGTGACCAGTGATACAATCAGTAAGAGAACAATCAGGAAGAGAAAACTCTACTCTGTACAGTGACCAGTGATACAATCAGGGGAATACTCTGTACAGTGACCAGTGATACAATCAGGGGAATACTCTGTACAGTGACCAGTGATACAATCAGGGGAATACTCTGTACAGTGACCAGTGATACAATCAGGGGAATACTCTGTACAGTGACCAGTGATACAATCAGGGGAATACTCTGTACAGTGACCAGTGACACAATCAGGGGAATACTCTGTATACATTCATTTGTAAGAATACCAGTTTTCATTCTTGTTCCTTCAGAAGTAATATTTTCTCTACAGTGTCATTTTGTCACTTTGTCCCTTCTCAATATCATTTCGGAAGTAACTGATACTTCCAAAATAACAGACTGCATATGTATTCACACACATTACAGTCATCAATATACTTCATATATCTTTCTTTCCCTACATCAGCTTTTGCATCTGTCTTCCTACTTTCTTTTAATGATTTTCTTTCCTTATAACCATCATTCTTTCCATCTATCTGTGTCTACATACATCTTTGTTTCTTTCCCTACTTCTATTTTTCTACCCATATGTCTTTCCCAATACATGTCTAGTTTTCTTCTCCCCCCTCCCTCCCTCCTGCGACCCCTACCATTGGTTTCCTTTCCCTCTATCTGTTTTCCCTATATATTGCCTTACATCTATCTTTCTTTCCCTTTATGTTTTTTCCTTATATTTTTTTCCTTTCTCTCAAAATACCACTTTTTTTCTTTCTCTATATAAGTTTTTCCATATATCTTTTTTCTAACTTGTACCTATGCCTTTCTTTCACTATATCCATCTTTCCCTTTATTTATTTTTCATTCCTTTCCTCTGATTTCCTTATACCTGCCTTTATCTAAATCTATTTTTCTTTCCCCACCTCTATTTTCCTTTCCCTTCATCTGTCATTCCCTATTCCCAGAATGGATGTGAAAAGGTATAGGGTCACCTGCCCAATCATGTGGGTTTTCCCCGGGTACTCCGGTTTCCTCCCACACTAAGACCCCTTGTGTGCTTCCATCCGAGCCAACAAGAGTGATTAATATAATCTGAAAAAACTTGCCTCGCAATTTTTGTAAAATAAATGAAGTTTATCATTATTATCTGTCTTTCCCTATATCTATTTTTCTTTCTTTACCTTTTTCCATTTTTTTATCCTTTTATTTGTGTTTCCCAATGCTGATATTTACCTTGTCGTTTGTACAGGTGAGGAAATGATGGAAGACTTCAGAACGGGATATCAATGGATGGCGTACCATTCTGTTAATCCAAAGCTGGAGTTGGTGCATTCTTTCTGTTATAAAGTCATCTTCATATCTTCCTACATACAAAAGAGCCATTAACAATCACAGATACAAGAAATCGTATTCATCTTCAGTATTTTCAATGTAACTTTATAAATATAGTGATCTTTAAAATCCTTTTTTCACTTTGAAAGTACAACCTTACAGAACAAAGTAATGATTTATCCTGCTTTATCATATTTCACTCAGTCCTGATACATGAACAAGCTTAACTAACAATAAATCTATTTTAACAGTACAAACATTATTTCAGGTGAAAATACACATGTACTGTGTATATTGATTGTTAATATCACAATACCAAACGTAAAGTAATACATTTAATACTGGCAGCTGACAGACATACTTATAACACTCTAGTATTATTGGCTGTTACTTGTTACCAGCTCTAACAGGATAAATTTGAAGGAAGTATGAAATCTTTTGGAAAACTTTGAGATGAATTACACAACCAACGATCCTGCTTGAGTATGTATGGTCAGGATATGGCAATGATTGATAGCTATTCAACATGGTAAACTACAAAACAGTCACAGCGACCTAGCTTCAGCATAGAACACGCCTGTCAAGCTTTGTATGATTCTAATTCTAGAGCATTAAATATATATCACGTCATGTAGAATGTACATATGCTCCGGTCCTGTGTGGACAGACAGACACCTAACTCCTATGATTCAAACCTGTTTCATCAGTTAACCAAAACGACAGCTGTTTACTACTACATAGAAGGAAGTCACGGCAAACAGTTACAGAAACACTGAACTACTAATACAGCATATTAATCTATTTTAAAGAAAATCCATCTCATTTCATCTCAATCACATATTTCAACCAAAATACCAATTACAACTTAAACCAAAAGAATAAAACATGCTTTCTTTAATCACATGCAAGGAGTTGTATGTTTGTGAATCATAAATTTCATAATCCATACAGACCAGTTAATTTTTCTTACATTTACATTTTATTATCTTTTGTAATTAGTCTGAGTGTGTAAAGTTACATGACAGTTGTACCAGAAAAACAGATTTTAGTACCTCAATCCTTACCCAAGAATTATTTTGCCCAAACCTAATTACCAGAACTCTTCACAGGATTAGAGAGACAAAAGTAGCAACCAAGTCGGAACATTTACTCACCCGAGCGTCCTATCAATGGAAATAATGGACAGGTAAAATCAACATCAAAGATTGAAGGGAAAAAGATATCCCGTAAAGTTGTCCAGGGATGGTATTCATACCTTGGGAGTTTTTACTTCTATATAAGTTAAAACTTCAAAAGTACCAGGTTGTAACACAGGAATTCTGCTTACTAAGGGAGTCTAATTTGAAATGTACTTTTTCAAAACTGAAAGTTAAGACAAATAGACTTGAAGATCAGATTTTGTCCTAAAAAAAGACAAAATTTCGTTAATTTGTTTAATAGCAAATCAAAAACATCTATTCAAGGAAGGGACATACATTTGACAAAATAAAACTGCATTCAGCCAAGCAAGGGAAGATTAAACCCACACCAAATACGAACAGCTAGCAGTAGGAAGAAAGGATTGATGTAGGACAGATGACAATACAATACATGATTTTGTAAATAAGGGGTTTCAGGCCCTGAGTTTGGTATGCTTCACACGCTCTTATTATGAATAATGTACACACCAAGTTTCATTATCTTTGCTCAAGTAAAGTTATGCATCCAGGCATCAAATTTTAATAAAGAGTAATAGTAACTCTGTAATTAAGGGGTGTGCTGGTCCTGAACTTCGAACACTGCACATCCTTTCAGTATGGTGAATGTAGAGACAAAGTGTCATTATCCTACTTTTAATAAAAGCTTAGTTATGCTCAGGATATATAATTTTAACAAAGGGCAATAATTCTGTTATAAAGGAGTTGCATGCCCTGTGTATGGCATACTGCACATCCTCTTAGTACGACTGATGTATACACTAAATTTCATTATTCTAGCTCAAATAACAGAAAAGTTATGTTCTGGACACAAAAATTTTATCATGCCCTGACTTTGGAACACTGCACATTGTCTTAGTATGACCAATGTATACATCAAGTTTCATAATCCTGAAGGCAAAGTTATGCTCCAGAAACTAAAGGAAAAATAAAGCAGCAACATTTTGGAACATTTTCTTCAGTTTGGTCAGATCATTAGAATAGAAGTTCTTATACCACAAGCCAATATAAGATTTGATTGTGACGTTTCGATGACTACATGATCACCTTCATCAGACAAATGACCAGTATTGAGTGTACTAGCACTTGCATAATGTACATCAGATTATAGTTATTTATCTGATGAAGGAAGCCATAAGTCATCTAAACATCACAATCAAATTTTCCACTGGTTGTGTTATAAGAACTTCTATTCTAAAGCAACAAATAATTGGGAAGTACATAATTTTTTCAAATGTTCTGAACATATTGACTAAAACTGTATTGGAAAATAAAAAGATTGTTCATTCAAATTTCATCACACAACTAAAGAACCTTTTAAGGATCAACATGTTTGGCCAGATTTTGTCAAGAAATGTGAGCTTTGATAAGGAAGGTAAGAGTGGCTGAGCATGGATTAAAAGTGTTTTTATGTATAGTATACAGGCTGGAATGGAACATCTGATACTAAATAGTTCTGCAATTTCCACAACCAAATTATCTTCAATCAAAATTCCAAAACTTCAACATTTAATATGATCCTGATAAAATACAGATTTTTTTCTAAACATGAAAAAATTAATCTAAGTGATTCTCATAACTTTACATGTTTTAAATGTTTTTAATCACTTTTTACTATTAAATATTGTCCAAGTAATTAAAACAGAATCACACCAATTATCATCAATACTCTATTTTAATAAATATATTACAAATCCAAGGACTTTCTGACAAAGGGAGTGTATCAATGGTGCAGTGTCTGTGGTTAAGGTTTGTGTTAGGGCCAAGGTTTTGATTGTTTAAGGGATCAGGTTTTCACCCGAAATGACAACCACATAACAAACCTTTCTTTATTCCTGAGTTAGAAAGCGACCCAATGCCAACTGAAAGGATTGACAAAATAAGCAAGTGTTCCAAGACATAGACTATCCAACAAGAATTCTTTAATGAGAGGTTAACATTCTTATTTTGTTCAAATGAAATATTAGCATTACATGTAAACAGATACAAAGTTCAACAAATTACTACATTTTTTTTCAATTGCTTCTACAAGAACCTATCATTTTATTAAGTACAGCTATATGATTCATTATTCACCACCATCATGCTCAATACGGACATTCCTAAAGACTGGTTAACCCAATCTGCAGATAGCTAAACTATACAATATATAAGGCATAGGCATGTATATACCTACAAACAGTTAAAGTGACGAAAAGCAGAGCTAATAAAAACAGCCCCGATCCAACATGAAAATGTGTATATAAGGGGAAAGTAATCTGATGGTGAAACAACTTCTGACAAATGTCCAACAACAAAGCACAACACATTTTGTATATCACTGAGCTCACAATTTGGTGACATATGCCTACAAAGCTTACAATATCACCAAAAAATTTAAAAACTGAAACGTGTGTAGAAGCTAAAATGTTGTGAATGCTAACTGACAAAGTTCAGTTATTTTCCTACAAACATAGCATGAAAAAAGTACTTATAAATATCTCAATTTTCAATACTGAAAAAATGTTTCCATCAGAGCAGAGCTTGAGATTAAAACCAAAGTCAGACATTGTCATTAGTCTCACAAAGTGCTCAATGATCATTTGACTTTGCTCTCATATAAGCAACATTGAAACACATCAATGATAGTTATATATATAATGATTTCAGGAGCTTATCTTATAAAAGATCTCATAAATAATGAAAGTGCATGTTGCCAGACATTTTCAAATATGTCTCCTTCAGTGAAACCCCTCTAATTCAAAACCTTGTGAGAGGGAACACACTGATAGAATTAGAAAACTTTCCCTGTGCCTCCATTTAAACATTTAAAGTGTACTATGGTTGTATACCTGATATGGCCTTGTCTGGCAGTGGTGGGATAGGAACACAGGCAAACTTCTCCTCAAGTCGCTCATGTAGCCAATCAAAGTGTTTATACCTCCGACTCACCTGGATGTTACTGAACTGTAAACAAAGGTAATTTGGCACATAAAATACAAATACAACCTTTATTAAAACCAGTGAAAACATGTAACAAGAACATACCAAAATATTCCTTAAATCAGCATTATGATTATGTTGTTAAACTGAAGATAAAACACTTTACATTCTACAATTGCTAGTGAAAAACAAGAGGCCCATGGGCTTTAATGGTCACCATGTAGTTTTCTGGTCTTTGGGCAATTTTAGTGCCTGTCCGTCAGTCCCACCATTGGGGCAGATGGAGCAGAATCAATATATATGCATACTTACAAAGTTTTCATTGTTTCTAAGTTTGAAGGTTTATTTCTCTAATGAACAGAATTGATAACAATGTCTGTTGTTGTACTTTAGCATATTTGACTCTTGTGACCCTGTGAATGAAGGTCTAGGTCATTCATTTGAACAACTTTGCAGCCCTTCACCCTATCATGTTACCTGCCCAATACCATATCCCTGGGCCTTTTTGATATTGAGGGAAAATCAAAAATGTAAATTGTTCACGACAGACAATGGACCATCTCAAAAGGTCACTTGAGATTTTGTCACAGGTGACCTGAAAAACAGAATACTCTTTGACTGCCTTCCTAACCTGTCTAATCTGTGTTGTGTGATAACCTACCTTTTAATATACAGCTTTCTGTCACAGTCTGTTTAATGTGACAATATGTCCTGTCTATCCTTGATCACCTAATTATTCTGTCTTGTGCAACTACCTGCCCTATACCTCCAATGATAACATACATTATGTATAACTCCTTAACTTAAAACATTACCTTGTACTTCAAAACAAATATCTCATAAACAGCAACAGAAGATTAGGAAATAGTTAAACAGGTTGCTGAGGAACACTTACTGATGGTGTGATCTGGTACGCTATATAACTTTTTAGGCCTTTTAATTTACTCTCCTTCTTAGGAGATGTGACCTCACAGGTGAAGGTATCAGTTGGTAGTGGCCAGACAGGACCATCTCCGGTATCCTAGAATTAACACAAAAATGACATTAATTATAAAAGCTATTAATTGAACAGGTTTGGTAATGACTTGCATACATTTGAATGTTTACACAAAACTAACTTTTTCCACACATAATTGTTCTAATTGAGCCTTTTCTTTAATACAATGCAATAATGAAAACACATATCGCTTACAATGGTATTATGCGTAACAAAAGAAATGTGATATTATGCTTTTTACAGTCCCATGTTACAGCAACGCTCTAGTAAAGGTACAACAAAACAAGCCAAACCATGGACACTTTTAGTGAGTGACTATTTTGCAATAAATGTATGCTCTGTGAACTTCCATTAAAAAAAACTAGGATAAGAGTTAATTTCATTCAAATGCCAATGTAAGCTTTTCTGTGTTTTGTTGTAAAACAATAGGTTTCTAACATAGCAGTTCTTATCAGAAATTTACTACAATCTTTAGAATACATCTTTTATCAGACAGTACATCTATGACAATGCCAATTATACAGATATGTTTATCTCCACTATTGTGTTTGTGTTAATTAGGGATGTGTTTGTGTTTGCAGTACAATGTAGTGTCACTTTGTAACATTGTTTCAGTTATCATACATGTGTGCACACACAGCTGCCGTTAGCCATTACAGAATGCTACCAGGAAGACTACAATACCAAAACAGTTTTAATCATTGCAATATAGATGTGCTAAAATCAGACATTTTAAAATTTCACTTTTTCTTCTAAGTGAAAGGGGAATAGAATTTTGATAATGAACAACTTTCTAAAGTTTTTTTAGGACTTTGTATCAAACAGCAGTAACAACACTAGCAGTTCATTAGTGACTGGCATTGAAATATCAAATGTAGCTTCGAAGAGATGTCATATTTATCTAAACGCTCACAAACATTATTTGATATTGTAACAACAAAATCTGACAGACACAGCAGATCCTATTTCTGGTACCCTAAACTATGAGAAAGTTATTGAGTAGTGTAATTGTTGAGAGGTGATGTTTTCAACAATATATGTGTTTTGTCTGATCATATGTTTTTAAATTCTCCGACAATGTCCGTGTTTTGTCTGATCATGTGTTTTTGAACTCTCCGACAATGTCTGTGTTTTGTCTGATCATGTGTTTTTAAACTCTCTGACAATATATGTGTTTTGACTGATGATGTGTTTTTAAACTCTCTGACAATATATGTGTTTTGACTGATCATGTGTTTTTAAACTCTCTGACAATGTTTGTGTTGTGTCTGATCATGTGTTTTTGAACTCTCCGACAATGTCTGTGTTTAGTCTGATCATGTGTTTTTAAACTCTCCGACAATGTCTGTGTTTTGTCTGATCATGTGTTTTTAAACTCTCCGACAATGTCTGTGTTTTGTCTGATCATGTGTTTTTAAACCCTCCGACAATGTCTGTGTTTTGTCTGATCATGTGTTTTTAAACTCTCCGACAATGTCTGTGTTTTGTCTGATCATGTGTTTTTAAATTCTCCAACAATGTCCGTGTTTTGTCTGAACATGTGTTTTTAAACTCTCCGACTATGTCTGTGTTTAGTCTGATCATGTGTTTTTAAACTCTCCGACAATGTCTGTGTTTTGTCTGATCATGTGTTTTTAAACTCTCCGACAATGTCTGTGTTTTGTCTGATCATGTGTTTTTAAACTCTCCGACAATGTCTGTGTTTTGTCTGATCATGTGTTTTTAAACTTTCCGACAATGTCTGTGTTTTGTCTGATCATGTGTTTTTAAACTCTCTGTATTGTTCTGGTAGTTCCACATATGAACATATATGTACATTAGACATGTACAGCGATGTTACAAAACAATGAATCATTGTATCTTTACCCAGAACAAAAGCACATGACCCATTTCCTCTATAGGTAAACAAATTGTTCGGAGTTAACTACTTACAACGAGGTGGAGTGAAGTCAAGATGGTTGATAATACAAATGGCGATTACAGCCATTGTTGTGTATGTAGTGTCTAACTTTTTGCCATTTTTGAGATGAATGTGGCATGACTTGATATGGGAATGAAAAACACACATATCAATATCTTTAAATGTCGTAAAATATGACCATGTGTAATGCACATGTTCAGCACAATTTTACTCACAGTGATGGTAATGACATCATTTTCGGACACATTTTCATTCTGTACTTGTCCCATCATAAAGGCCTCGCCTCCAGCTTTAGCAAAATGTGAAAATCTGCAGATAAACAGGAAACACATTACAAAACAAGGAAACGGAATGGTATATAAAAGTATATATGGAAGGAGGGTAAAGAGAAATAGATCACGATAATAAATATATTGCTTTCATACATACACACATTAATGTGTCACAGACCACATTGCAACTTTAAAATGTACTTGTTCCAGTATTTTTTAAATTTGTTTAAGAATTAATGGGTTCATTCATGTGACATTTTTGAGCCAGGTGTATAAGAGATTTGCCTGTTTTTTATCACTATGCCATGTCCACACGGGTATATAACTGTTTTTCACTGATACCTGTTAAAACATCTCTTCACTGTTCTGTACTTTGACAAATCACAAGGGGGATAACTGTTTTTTTTACACATCAAAGCTCTTTGTATTGTACCATGGTTTGACAAACCACAAGGGGAGATAACTGTAAATTACATCTTAAATCTATCCTTCACTCTACAATATAACTTTTTATTACCTGTTAAAGCTTTTCTTCACTGTACCATACTTTGACATGTCACCTGAGGGTGATAACTGTTTAGGCTCTCTTCTTGGCTGAGAAAGACCAAAGTTTCCCTGTCCTTGTAAATCCTGAACAGAACAGAAGTTGTAAGTAAATTCTTATATTAGTTATTGAAAAAAACATTTCAGCCTGTGATTTAAAATCATAATTTCAAAAGAAAAGATTAATAAAGTAACCCTGTCTGTACTGCTGTTTACCTTGGATGTACCCCAGTCTATATTGCTATGTTTATCTGAGATCTTCCCTAGTCTGTACTGCTATGTTTACCTGAGATGTCCCCCAGTCTGTACTGCTATGTTTATCTGAGATCTACCCTAGTCTGTACTGCTATGTTTATCTGAGATGTACCCCAGTCTGTACTGCTATGTTTATCTGAGATCTACCCCAGTCTGTACTGCTATGTTTATCTGAGATGTCCCCCAGTCTGTACTGCTATGTTTACCTGAGATATACCCCAGTCTGTACTGCTATGTTTACCTGAGATATACCCCAGTCTGTACTGCTATGTTTATCTGAGATGTCCCCCAGTCTGTACTGCTATGTTTACCTGAGATGTACCCCAGTCTGTACTGCTATGTTTATCTGAGATGTACCCCAATCTGTACTGCTATGTTTATCTGAGATGTACCCCAGTCTGTACTGCTATGTTTATCTGAGATCTACCCCAGTCTGTACTGCTATGTTTATCCAGTATGTTTACCTGAGATGTACCCCAGTCTGTACTGCTATGTTTATCTGAGATGTACCCCAGTCTGTACTGCTATGTTTATCTGAGATGTACCCCAGTCTGTACTGCTATGTTTACCTGAGATGTACCCCAGTCTGTACTGCTATGTTTATCTGAGATGTACCCCAGTCTGTACTGCTATGTTTACCTGAGATGTACCCCAGTCTGTACTGCTATGTTTATCTGAGATGTCCCCCAGTCTGTACTGCTATGTTTACCTGAGATGTACCCCAGTCTGTACTGCTATGTTTATCTGAGATGTACCCCAGTCTGTACTGCTATGTTTATCTGAGATGTACCCCAGTCTGTACTGCTATGTTTATCTGAGATGTACCCCAGTCTGTACTGCTATGTTTACCTGAGATCTACCCCAGTCTGTACTGCTATGTTTATCTGAGATGTACCCCAGTCTGTACTGCTATGTTTATCTGAGATGTACCCCAGTCTGTACTGCTATGTTTACCTGAGATGTACCCCAGTCTGTACTGCTATGTTTATCTGAGATGTACCCCAGTCTGTACTGCTATGTTTATCTGAGATGTATCCCAGTCTGTACTGCTATGTTTATCTGAGATGTACCCCAGTCTGTACTGCTATGTTTATCTGAGATCTACCCTAGTCTGTACTGCTATGTTTACCTGAGATATACCCCAGTCTGTACTGCTATGTTTATCTGAGATGTACCCCAGTCTGTACTGCTATGTTTATCTGAGATGTACCCCAGTCTGTACTGCTATGTTTACCTGAGATGTACCCCAGTCTGTACTGCTATGTTTATCTGAGATCTACCCCAGTCTGTACTGCTATGTTTATCTGAGATCTACCCCAGTCTGTACTGCTATGTTTACCTGAGATGTCCCACGATCTGTACTTGTAGAGGAGTGATCATCATCCTCCTCTTCCCATTCCTCCTCATCCCACTCTTCTGTGCTCTGCTGTGTTGTGAAGCCCCCTCCTACATTATAGTCCCCACCCCCGGTGTCAGCAGGCGTATTCTGGTAATGGTAGTTGTACCCGTTTGTAGTAGATGTTGTGCCTGTGGAGTAATGACTTGCCCTTGGGTCATCTGGGTAGTCCACCGTACTAGGGGGAGTAGGCATCGGGGGAGGGGGAGGAGGAAAGGAGGGTTCAGGAGGTTCCTCTGATATCTAATAAACAAAAAAAAGATTAATGTATAAAGTTCTTCAAACTAGATATCAATTGAGAATAGATAAAGATAAACAAATCATATAACTGCAACTTTCTGAAAAGTTGTTCGGAAGAAAAGACTTTTGCAAATGACATAAAATAGAAAGATCACAATGTATTTACAAGAACAAAACTTTTTTGGATAGTCTACAATAGCTAACTTTGGTGTCACAACATGAGGTCAACAATAAGGTCATGGCAAATACAGCTAATATGATTGACATTTGAATTTGGTTGGCCATCGAATGGTAAAGATATACCTGTAGATAAGCTTCAGGCACCAAACCCTGGTGTCCCAAGTCATTTTTAGCCTCCCACCATCCATCTCCAATATCCTGAAAAAAATCAAGCATATCATACATGTTAATTTGATTTATGAAGAAGCAAGAGAAAAGACTACTGTATTTTAATGATATAATTGATATACTATGTATAATGGACCATTATTGAGTATTCAATTATTTTCACAAAAATATAAAAAAAACTTCCAAAATTCATTTCATAAAATCTCATCAAATGAAATCAAAATTAGGATAATTTTAATCATGTACATGTAACTTAGAAAAGTTTCACCCTTTAAGGTTTTAAAGAAAAAAATGTTTAGGAAAAAAATCCAACATAGGCAGACATTTGTTGCATCATGTTCAATTCATGATTTACCCTCTTTGTCCATATTATATAACTATATTTCTGAATGGCATAGTCAATGAAAAACTTCCCAGGGTTATATCACTAGTGACATATACAATAAAATATTCCATGAGCAAATTCAATGGATAACAGGAAGATTCTAAATGAATTATAAAAAGTTTAAAAATATAATATACCTTTTGTATACAAAGGCAGCTAAAATCTTGTTTATCATTGTGTATTATTGTGATTTTAGCAAACACAGAAAATGTAACTTCTGAATAGTGAATAATTTTTAATATGATGCATTTGACAACATCATACCAGTAACTCACTCTACAATCCCATGCCCAGATTTTCAATAAGAAATCATAGCTCATAACTTCTGTGATTAATATATGTTTCAACTCTATACTTCAGTACCAGGTTTTCATTTTTCCCATTTCTAGGAACTGGAAAGTAATACAAGACATCTGGAATCTTTTACACCAGCACATTTTATCACCTGTTATTTATACAGCGCTGCCAGGGCTCTAACACCCCAGTTTGGGACTGGGGCCCTCAGAATTGGGAAAAATAATGGTGTTTTCCTTAGAATTGAGAAAACTTGGGGTCTAAATTGGGAAAAAAGATACTATTTTGCATTGGGAATGGGGCCCAATATCGGCCCCAAATCTGGCAGATCAAGAGCCCTGACTGCCCTCTATCAACTTTATATTAGAGAGTATATTACTGTACAAATGGCTCCTTGCTTGTCACACTTTGACCAAGATAAGAATATTCTGTCGCAGGCTTCCATGTTGTCTTATTATAGATAATGTAAGAAGGATGTTTAAATCATACTGACCCTCTGTCATTGCCAACTCCATTGTAAACAACATATGGCTATAATAGTCGATGAATGTACTGATCAATGACAGACTGTTTTAGGACTTAACTACCTTGGTATGTAAGAACATTTTGTACATGAACATGTACAATGTATGAAATAAAAATTAGGACTTCCAGGAATTACACTGTTATACATAAACCCATGTCAATTGGCTTTGGAGATGGCTTAATATAAGATTTATAATCTTATTGCCAGATCCATTTTCAATTTTATAATTTGTGTATGTGTAAAAAAAAGATTGGCCTTTAAAGAGCAAAACATGATCAGTAAGAGTATATATATTATGGTGTATGTTGTACACAGCTATCAGGAGAACAGACATTCACATGTAATATTTCACCCCTAGTTTATATAGGCCCAATATAGACATTCAGTATGTAATCAATGGCATGAAATACTTGTCACATTAATCACTGAGTTCAAAGCAATTGATTTCCATCTCATGTCAATATCAGGTGAATATGGTAGTATACATGCTTGTCTGTTTAATTCTTCTGATATATACCAAAGGCAGGTTTCAGTCCTTTACCTATATCCTTATATATATCTATACAGTAAAACCGTTAAATATGCATACATACATATAACTACATTTTATTGTATTCAATAACATGGAAATTTACTACTATTTATTGTTATTCAAATGGCTGCAGCTACTGGCTTCTGGGACAGTGACCTTATAAAATATGTTGTACATTCAAACAATATAGTGATATTTTGTATATCAAAACAACATGTTGAAGACTCATTGCAGACGTTTTACCATATCCATCCAGCAATAAACCTAGGAGACAAATACCTCAGAATCAAAGGCTGGGTGGGCTTATTATGCGACAATCAAATGATGTTTGCATGTAATGTTAATTAAATATCCACAGAAACAGTATTCTTGTCCACAGATATTTTCTTTACTAACATTTTGAACCAATAAACACACCTGGGGATTTTTTCTCAATGAGGAAGCAAACTTTAAAAAAAGTGTCAGTTATTGTGTTACTGCTTTGGATATCAGCTGATCTGTATGTCATAGTACATATGTATATATACATGTAGTCGTCAGGATTATCTGATATTGAAACAATAAACTAAGTCTTAAACATGGAAATATCCCATAGATAGACAAATCATACCACAGTGCATACTGAGTGATCTAATGGTAAATCTAGACATCAACAACAGAAATACAAATTTATGGAAGGAAGGTATAAAGTGCATTCACCTAAACCAACATAATACCAGGAAAAAATGTACGACACACTTCCTATACTTATAGAACAATGTAGATACATGTACTAGGTACCACAACTCTCGCACTGTTACACTATAAACATATATGTATACTGACACTGTCAAACTACATGTAATAGACAACATTTATATATTTTGAACCTCTCTCCCCCACCCCTCCCCCACCCAGGACAATCAAAGGAGGTCAATGTCAAACATTTTCCTCAATTGGAATTCCACCCTATTTTTACATTTGCATTGATCTACAGATGTTATGTTTCTTCAGTAGCATATACCAGTGATACTAAATACACTGACAACTGACCTACAGACACAGGAAGTAGAGATCTCAGTGACACCTTCAATATATCCGGAGGTTGCTCGGGATGCTTGTTGACAGATGATGAGTCAGATCTGTATGTTCTCATGTCAATGACACACCATTCACTAAATACTACTATAGGTCAGCTGCCACTGTATTCAGAGATATAGGGCTTACATAATACATTATACAATACAGCAGTGTGATCTGTACCCTTCCCTTACGGACCCTGCCCTCACAATCACATATTCAGCCCAGTTCACTTGTGCGTATAGATTATGTACATTAAGTATACTGCTTATCAACAACCAGAATTATACATTATCAAGTAATGGGGAAAAAAACTGTTTGACCAAATACAATTTTATATGCAGTTTTGGCATTAGAATACTTTTATTTATTTTGTAACAATTGCGAAACAAGTTTTTCCAACTGATATTAATCACTCTTGTTGGCCTGGATGGAAGCGCACGAGGGGTCTCTCTGTGGGAGGAAACTGCAGTACCTTGGGAAAACCCACATGGTTGTGCAGGTGACCCCATACCTTTTCACATCCATTCCAGGAATCAAACCGTGGACAGCTAGGTGAAAGGTGAGTGCCTTACCATGGCACCAACCATCCCGAAAAATAGTTAAAAAACAATTGAGTGCATAGGTTATCCTACTACATACATTTGCCAGCCAAATGAAACAACTAATTAGGTATAAAATCAACTTGATAAGACAGCAAACACAGTGTAAGAATTCCAAGATAAACATTGAATTGATAGACTATGTAATATTTCAGCATGGGTTGTATTCATATTTGATATAAATGACACAACTTTGCTTAAGGTGATATATATATATACCATAAATATTCGCGTATAGTGCGCAGGTACTTTTTGGAGATCAGATTTAAAAAAAAAAAAATCTACAGAAAAATTAATTGACTGGTCACTGCGACGAAACATTTGATGTGGTCTGATCCATTGATAATTAGGAAACCACAATGAGCGTGACCCTACCACATGTAATTACCTTAAGTAAACAAATTTACCCAGGTGACCTAACCAGCATGAAAGGCTTGGCTGATTGTATAATTAACGGTTAATGACAGTTAACACGTTAAGTATGAGGAGACTGATGACACCCGGCTTGGGCTGAACGCGTACTATTGGTCAGAAAACGATGTTGTTTTAACGTGTGAACATTTTCAATCCTACCTTGTCCCCATAAAAGCAGGTGGTTTGTTCAGTATAGGCATGATCTTTCATGGTATCTGTACCCACCGCAGTATCCGAAGGTATTTAATGATAGATTGTTTACACCGACTTCGACATGGGGAAACTGCGAACGCCATTTGACTACGCTGAGAGACTGGAGTTTCGTGCCGCCGGTCGCCACTTCGACATTCCAGAGTGAAATATCAAGGCACGAAAGAAAAAAAGACTGTCTAAAGTCCCAACCACTGACCAGAAGGGCTGACATAGGTGTGACAGCGAAACACCCAGAGATGGAGAGAGAGCTGTTCAACTTTGTATGCGATCGCCGATATCCCGGCATCGCTGCCAGTACAACAGAATAGATTTGATATTCATAAATGACACAACTTTGTCTACAAAAAAAGCATGTTATATATATATGTGTGTGTTTTTACAAAACTGTGCTGCCTATACTGACTACAAATGTCGTAGCCATACAATTTCATGTTTAATGTAAATCAGCCAGATTTTTGAGGAAAAATCATGCTAAATATCATTAGTTATGTCAACTTTCAGATGTCGATTTTGAAATAGTGAATGCTATCATTTTTTTCTCATTTGCACAGCTTTACATAACATGTCTGGAACATGGATATCAAGACTAAGTAAAATTTTTTCACACCTAAACTTTATTTAACGTGTGCATAGATACTTAACTATCTTCCGTTCCTGACCAGCTACCAATTTTCTACCTGCTAGCAGTTTAAAAAGATCTGATAGAGTACAGAAGCTGGAACATCTCCTGTAGACTCTCTGATGTAGATAACACGGTGAGCTGATGATTGATTCACCAGCTGTCTGTTGTGTTAACATCTACCAGTATGGTGAAATAAAAAGGAAAACTGTTGTGATACCAGCTCTAAAACATGTAAACCACATGGCAGTTCAGATCATGGCACCAAATGTACAGAAATATTCTGATACATATCCGACATCATTTTATAGTGAACATAACAAGTATGTGACTGGGTACATACAGATGATAGGACCTGACAAACAAAAGAAAATACCAACAGGTCT